GGGGGGGGAGAAGAGAGAGTTGAGCGTAGCCAACCACACACATGCTTAACGCAGAGATGTTACGATGCAAAGCGCTCCGAAATTGCACAGGTCCAAACCCAAGTACAACTCAAAATGCAATATTTTACTTTCTGAATCAGAAATAAAGCTTTTTTTAAAAACAAGACAAAGATAGGCCTCATCATCAGTAACACATACCCGTATCATTATTAAACACATACAGAGGAAGGGTGTAAACAATGAGCTTCAGGCTCAGAGCCCCCCCCCCCCCAAAAAAAAAAAACAAAAAAAAAACCACCAAAAAAACCCGCCCAAAAGTCCCCCAATCAAGTGTCATCACTGTTTCAGAGGCCTGCCCTAACTTTAGCAAACAGTTTCGTTCTTTTTCGCCCCGCATCACAGACCATTTACCTGTCGGTCAACAGGGGGCTTTTAACTATAACTGAGATTGGGCAATAAACCAGTGACACTTTTCACGTTTCCTGGTCGTATGAATTTAAAATAAGGTACACCAAAGGTGGGTCACTTGACCTTGCGATCGCACAAAGAAATATAATAAACATTCACAGATGTGACATGCTGTGGCCCTTTAGAATTGAAACTATTAAACACAGACAAAGTAAAACGTAAAGAAAATAATATTATGCCCTTTTCGCACCCATCCCCTCCCACTACACACACACACACACACACACACACACACACACTCACACACACACACACACACACACACACACACACACACACACACACACACACACACACATACACACACACACACACACACACACAAACGCTTAATATTATTTTGAGTATATATGTATATATATTTAAATATATCCCAACTAGCAGAATCGAATAATTTTAGCAAAAAAAACCCAGAAACACGTGAGGTCATTTCCTAAACCCAAGGTCCAATTTAAGCTGTGGCATTTTCCTTTCAGAGTCAGAAGCAAGCTCTCAAAAGGAAAAAGACAGACTTCAGTTGCCACTACGTGTGTATATTCTCGTGCAAAACGTTCCAGCAGACACGAGGAACCCCCCCCCCCCCTCTCTCTCTCTCTCTCTCCCTCCCTCCCTCTCCCCCCCCCTCTCTCTCTCTCTCTCTCTCTCTCTCTCTCTCTCTCTCTCTCTCTCTCTCTCTCTCTCTCTCTCTCTCTCCAAAAAAATAGCAAACTCTCTCCCACCCTCACCCACCCCCAAAACCACCCTTTTTTCCAACCAGGACACTGTATCAGAAAGAAATTGGAAAAAGGAGTGGGGGGGAGAGAGGGGAGGATTTTAAAAAAGGGAGAGGAATGTCACGTCTCAGAAGAAAGAAGGAAAGAAATCACAGAGATGATTGTGTAGTGTGGTGCTTGTCAGGCTGGGCGACACCGCCCACTAGGGGGCGATTTGGTAATTTTGATGGGCGGTGGGGATCACCCGGGTAGTCACAGGTTTTATCTTATGTCCCTTTTGGAAATACCCGATGGTGGGCGATACGAAATATTAGCCTCATAATCTTAAAGGTGACAAAAGTGGCCACTACTATAAAAAGGTTATCAGGCACTGGTGCAGTGGATCTATTAAAATGTGTCATTCGTGTGGTGCTCACTGTCTTAAATAAACTGAATGCATACACTTACTTACAAATGGTCCGACCTAATCTTGTGAGAGTGCCCACGGTAAAGTCTAACAAGTTGGGTTGAAGGTCTTTTACTTCCTACATACCCCACAGAATATGAATGCTCTTCAAAAAAAAAATCCGTATCAGAACATCAGAGAGTAAATTTAAGAAAAGTCTAAAGACACATTAAAATTTGTTCAACACTTTCCTCTGCCAGTAAATTTTGTACGTGAGAATATCTTTGAGGCTGGAAGATGTGTATGTGCGTGTGTTTGTGTGTGTGTGTGTGTGTGTGTGTGTGTGTGTGTGTGTGTGTGTGTGTGTGTGTGAGTAGTGTGTGCAAGTGTGTGTGCATGTGAGTGTGTGTGTGTGTGTGTGTGTGTGTGTGTGTGTGTGTGTGTGTGTGTTTTATCACATGGTCTCACAGTGTGCATTCTATTCGTCAGCTGAGTGATAATATTCTGCATTTTACAGCGCATAGAGCCTTCTAGAGAATATATAATGTCCCATTATTATAATAGTATTATCATAATATTAATATTTTTCATTCCCCCCTCCTAAAATTAATTTTATCTAGCAAAGTAAACGTGAAATTTTTAACGCAAAAAAGCAATAAAAACTTGTGTTGGTAAATGTGATCGAAAAGTATATAGGTTGCTAAAAACAATTATAACTACTATTCGGTCACTGAGTACCAATCTTTTTTATTATCGTATCCTGTTTTCAGCCCCCCATGGAGGCAGGCCTTGCGTGACAAAAAAAAAATCCAAACTCTCCACGGGTGACCACAAGGTCAAAGGATCAAGCGTTGCAGAATTTACGGAAGGTGTTTTTCAAGTCCCTTTTTTATCTGTCCATTAAGGGTCTTCAACACGTTTCGGAAGTCCTTGTCAACACCGTCACGCATGTCGTTTCTTCTGTTGTAAACGTGACGTCAAATGACTTCTTCACTCCTGTCAAACACGTCTGTCTTATCTTCTTTTCCGTTTCTATTGGTTCTTTCTCGTCGCTCTCTTTCAATTTAATGGGGGTGGAGTGGGGGGGGGGGGGGGGGGGCGTTAATAACAGTTAAGACAGGTTTATTACCAAAATAAAAGAAGGGGGGAGAAGAAAAGAATAAATTATATACATCTAGTTTAAAAGCAACTAATTATATGTTTTTTCCCGGGGCAGTCACGGAATCAAAGCTTTCTTTGTTATGTTTCCTGACAAGAAATCATGGCCAAGTGTGTGGAGAGAGGCTAAACTAAAGGCAAACGTGCTGCGACACGACACGCCGCTGTGTCTGGTGTTGCTTCCTTTGTTAAAGTACCTGGCTATCTTTTTGGAGGAGCCTACGTGTATACTGTACAATTGGGAATGCTGAATGCTGTCAAGATTATTGTAGCCCACATGCTTGAATGGCTACCTGGCCTTACAGTTACAGTTACAGCTCCTCAGAACAATTGGCTAAGTGCAGCTTCCCCTAATTGTGACTGACAAATTTAATGTCTGAGTTTATACCTATTGCACACTGCTAATCGAATGTATTTGATTAAGTCGGGGTCAGCCAGATTTTCCATTTTGACTGGGACGGAAAAAACACCGCGTACATTGTTAATAAGAAAAAATCCATTAACTGAACTTGTTTACTCACTGAGGGAGTCTCGACAATATATATAGAATCTAACAAATTATTTGATTACGAACAAAACAACAACATCAAAAAGCAAACAAACAAATGAGCACAAAAGCAATAATAGGAAATCTTGAGCCCAGACCATGAGACAAAATTATTGCGACCATAATAGAACAGATATGATCTTTCCACATGTTAAATGGCAGAAAATGTAACAGCCAATGAGCCATATCTTCGAGGGTAGCAAGCAGTAACTTCTCTCTCTCTCTCTCTCTCTCTCTCTCTCTCTCTCTCTCTCTCTCTCTCTCCCGCTCCCTCTTCCTCTATTTCTCGTGTAGACAGAAGGGCAAAAAAAGACATACAGTAAGACATAAAAAGACACACGTAGACACTCACATACAAATAAAGACAGACAGACAGACAGACAGACAAGCAGACAGACAGGCAAGCAGACAGACAGACAGAAAAACAGACAGATGAATATATATACAAATGTATAGAAAGATAGATAGATAGATAGATAGATAGATAGATAGATAGATAGATAGATAGATAGATAGATAGATAGATAGATAGATAGATAGGTAGCAGGGGCGAAGGCTGACTTGTTTGACAGGGTAATCAAAGTGAAACGGGACCAGATATAGATCTATATGGCCTGTAGATATCACAGAAGAATCCTATTCGAGGCGGCGACTCTGAGTTGTGA